CATACCAAAACTACATAGTTAATGAAAGCTAATGAAAGCCTTCACTGTTTGAGGGAAACCCCTAAAGAGATGAAGGTACTACAGAAACCACATCTACAGCCATCTCACTGAGGAGGCTCCCCCCCTCAGTCCACACAGACATTACAGAAGGGTCATTTTTGTGGCCACTAAAGCAGAATAATCCAAAAGAAATAAAAGGAAATTAATTATTTTGTTACAAACCTGCAGGGTTTTGAACAAAACTTCCAGGATTTGGCAAATATTGTTGACCTTGGCCGTAAGGCCCTGGTTGACCAGACATAAGAGAAACCTGTAAAAGTAAACATTTGAGTATTTTTTGTATAATAATACAATTATAAGCTTACTTTTTAAATTTTATCATTAACTTCTAGACATTTCTCAACAATTTAATATATATTTATCTCCTTCCAGGAGTGAACCATGTCAGTTTGGTATTGAAAGGTCCCCAAACAACTAAATAACCTTTTTCTCATTTTCATTTCCTATTGGAAAAATTTCAGAACACACAAGCATAATGTTGAAATTAAAAAACGAAACAAAACAAACACCTTTGCTTCTACTAGTCAAGCCTTCAATCACGTTTTCCTAACACAGTACTTCCTTTTCAACTGCTCCTGTTCACCCAGACAGAGCTCATCCGAAGGACATTCAGAAACTGGTGAATGTCTATTAACAAATGCCATGATAACTCTTATCTAAGAACTGAAACAGCGCCCACGATCTGAAACACACCTGGAAAGGGGGATTTTTCAGTAAACCAGCTTCTGAAAGCTTCAGATAGAAAAACAGGTTTTATAACACACTTGTAATAAAAACGTTCTTGGATTTTTCCCCCCTCCCAACTGGCTGCTTTCTGGATTTACAAAAAAGTTTAAATTGTTTAGAATGTTATCCCATTAGAGGTTAGCAGGACACGTGACCTGCTTTCATACAGATAACTCTTCGATTATTACACCCCCAATAAAAAACCCCCTCTAAAATCTCTCATCCCCTGAAAGAAATGACATGGTTTTCTCAGGTACAGCACCATCTTCCCCTTTTTGAAGGCAGCACTTCCAACTGGCAACAGCAAAGACAACTGAACTCAAAGCACACTGGTGCCAAGGTAATTTCACAAGACTGTAGTTCAACAACATCCAGATCTTTCCCAATTCCCCCAAAGTTACAGGTATCTCTTTAAAACTGTTTTGTCACTAGTACAGACAGCTGCAAAAAGACTAAAGAATTATTTTGGACCATTCTAATTCTACACTTCTTAGAAAAATTAATTATGCATATTCACTTACATTATCTTTTATGCTTTAGATAGAATTCTCTTTTGGGGAAGTTTAATGAAACCACCAGAGGTTTCCTATTACTTTGTTCTGAAGTTTGAAATACTGATTTCACTGTCATGTTCTCAGCTACAAAGTGATTCTCAAGATCCACTATTTTCAATCTTAAAAAAAACCCTCAAAACTTAAAAAATAGCAATATATGTCCTCCTTAAATTACTCAGAAGCTACTGAAGGATGATGACTTTTTTAGCTTGAAACCGGCTTCCAGTCTGACAACTCTTCAGAAAAACCTTCCCCAGTTTTTGGAGGAAGAAAACCTGCTAATTTTCTACCCAGAAATACTTGTTCGAGCCAATCATCTAACGCCGTCAGTTCTCACCTGATTGCTTCCCATGGGCAGATTATTGAAGTTCCCATACTGAGGACCCTGAAGACCTTTTTCATCAAAGTAATGTCCAGCTGCTCTCAATGGGAAGTTCTGTGCTCCTGGGCCAGCGGGCCCATTGAAATTTGGTCCGGGTGAACCATCGTATATATCAGGCCTCTGGAACTGCATCCCGTGAGATGGCCCGTTGTAGCCCTGGCCGGGATGGTCGACAAACGGACCACCTTGTCCATATGGTGACATCTCCAGTCTTGAGGCAGGATGGTTAGCTACATTTTCAAAACGTGCACCTTGAAGGCCAAGGGGCAAGTCAAATCTAGAGGCTGGCTGGTGAGGTCCATCAAATCTCTGAGGTATGGCTGTATCAAATCGTGGTTGTGCCTGTTGTCCAGGCGTTCTTTCAAATCTTGGACCAGGCTGTCCATGAATTCCGTCAAATCTTTGCAGGAGAGACAGTTGTCCAGGCTGACCATCAAATCCAGCAGCGTGACAACCATCAAATCTTGGACCGGCACGACCCAGAGGACCATCAAATCTAAGTCCACCAGCTCCCTGGTGTACTGGTCCATCAATCAACCTAGGACCTACACCTGGTTGACCATGTGGTCCTTCCAATCTCAGTCCACCACCTGATGGTCCATGTGGCCCCTCAAATCTGAGCCCACCACCTGATGGTCCATGGGGCCCCAATGGCTGTAAATGTGGCCCCTCAAACCTGAGGCCACCTCCTGGTTGACCATGGGGCCCCAATGGCTGACCATGGGGTCCCTCAAACCTGAGACCACCCCCTGGTTGACCTCGAGGCCCCAGAGGTTGACCATGAGGTCCCTCAAATCTGAGACCACCTGAAGGCTGGCCACGAGGACCCTCAAACCTGAGACCAACTCCAGGTCCTTCAAACCTAGGACCACCTACAGGCTGCCCTGCAGGCCCCTCGAACCGCAAAGGCCCACCTATCTGCCCAAGAGGTCCTTCAAACCTCAGTGGACCGCCTCCAGCAACCTGTCCCGGGGGTCCTTCAAACCTCAAGGCCCCTGCCAGCTGCCCTGGTGGCCCATCAAATCTTAGGGCTCCAGCTCCCCCTGCTCCTGCTAGCGGCCCATCAAACTGCAATGCACCTGCCCCCACCAAAGGCCCCTCAAATCTCATAGCAGCCTGTCCAGGTGGTCCATCAATTCTGGAACCTGAACCAGCAGCAGGACCATCAGCAAAAGGACTTCCTTGTCCATCCACCCCAACCCTTGCAGCAGTCGGTCTAGGTGAGCCATCAAATAGAGGTCTGTCTTCCATTAGTGCAGTTATCCTCTGCTTTGCTTCAATGCCTCCAAATCTTGATCCTGGACTCTCTGGAAACGGTGCTTTCTCTGGATCTTCATATCTAGCTCTTTTGAAACGTTCACTGAATGGTGATCTTGGTTCCTCTCGAACACCTTTAAAAAAAAAAGAGACAACCAAACCAGATACCACTCACTGAAGTGTTGCCAATTATTTAACAGCTGTAAAATAAAGCAAAAGCACATACCAGCTTGCCCAAGAAGCTGTCTGTCTTCACGATTATCGAATCTGCAGACTGCATCTCCATCTATTTTCTGGAACTCTGGTGTGCTTTTCCCCTGTTGTCTGAGAGCATCTCTAAATTCATCCGATTCTCCCCAGCTGTCATAAGGATCAAAGGTCTTGGAACCTCTTGCTCCTTTAGCAGCATTTTGCTCCTCAAGTCTTCGTCGACTCTCAAGTGGTGAGAGGTTATCAGGAAAAGGTCTTTTAGTGCCACTTACAGGAGAGTGTCTCCTTGATCTTTCTCCAAACGGTTCTTTTCTGTCAAACTGTACTCCACGCTTGGCTTTCGCTTGCTCACACTCTATTCCAGAAAGCAACGCATCAGGCAAGTGATAATCCAAAATATCATCAGGATCCAACAGATCAAGCCTTGACAAAGAATGCTGAACCTGTGTCCTTTTTAGTTTAGCCTTATGTTCATAATATGTTAATTCTGCATCCGACAGAAGAGGTTTCTTTTTCAAACCACATTTTTCCTCTGTAGGGCTATCCCAGACACTACATCTGTGCTTTCCTTCCTGATACTGGAACAGCTGTCGGATCTGGTGAGCCACCATGAGGAACTCATCTTGTGTTATTTCACCAGATGTTAAGCGATCATTGGCCTATAACATAAAGTTGAAGTTTAGAGTTCAAATAAAGAAAAGGAAGCTACACCCAGGACACTTCTATGAACACAGATTTATTAACGTTACCTTCTTAAGTAATTCTCTCTTGCTTGCAGATGTCAGTTCTTTGGGAATCTGTAAGTTAGCATCCACACTTAACCGGTGCTGCTGCTTTGGTGCTCGGGGTGATAAAATTCCTTTACCAGCAGGCCAGTTTTCCCGGTGTCTTTGGTGAGGGGATTTACCAAGTGCTTGGTGTTCTTCATTCTCCTGTGAGCTGAAAGCAAGCACACATTTAAAATACAGATTACTTTTTAAACTCGGGACATAACTGTTACTTTCCTATCAGAACTGATCGTGGCAAAACATCACTACACCTTAGAATCTAAGTATGCATCACCTCCATCTCTCACTAGCAGAAATAAGTTAAACTTAGCAAATTTTAACAAGCTGAACATTGCCTCCCAAAGCTGACTACACTGAAGTCAGCAGCAGAATTTCCACTGACTTCAAAGAGAAGTTGTGTAAAAGAGTAACTTACTTTTTATTTTCTTCCCAACCAGATTTCCACCTCTTGCCTGATTTGGATCCTTGCCAGTTTTCTGCATTCTCCTTTGGATCAGGAGAAGCTTTTGTAGAATGCTGGCTTGTTGTCTCTTGGGGCCTGTCCTCTTGGGCCTTTTTCACTCTCCTTGGATCCCGCACCTCTTGTTTAACACTTCTCTTATTAGAATTCCTTTCATCTCTTGTTGCTGGTGTGCCTTCTTCAACATGAGATTGCTTAGGACCTGTCTGACGTATCTTTCCAGTTTTAGGAGTTGATGAAGTGGGAGACAAACTCCTAAGTCTTCTTTTGGGTGATCTCCTCTCTCGTCTTTTTGGAGAATGTGTAGATGGTGACCGTGCCTTAGGAGAGCGTGACCGTGACCGTTTTCTGCTACTTGACCTCCCCTGTTTTCCACTCTGTTTTTCTGACTCCTCTGTAGCCGTCTCTTGTTTCTGAACAGCACCATTAATTACTTTACTTCTGCTGCCTGCTGGTCTATGTTCACTTGTCTTATGTTCATCTTTTTCTTTTTTCTCTGTATTTCTCCTCTTTTCTTTCCCCTCCTCCTCCTTGCCCTCTGATTTATCTTGAAGATGTCTTTTCAGTCTTGGATCTCGCTTACTAATTTCAGATACTTTTGTGCCTTCAGATTCCTGGGTTTTAGTATCTTTAGTATTAGGTAGCTTATTTTTCAAAGGGGATGGCGATTTAGACTTTGCTTCTGACTGGTCAAGTTCTTTCTTCTGTGTTTTTTCACTTGCTTTCAGTTTTTCTTGCTTTGATGAGTTTTGTTTTTCAGCCTGTGAGGTTTTGTTTGCCTTGGTTTCAGACTGACTGGTTGTGTTCGATGGAAACTCCTTCCTATGAGACTGATCTTTAGCATGAGAAGAATGTTGAGACACCCTATTAAGTCGAGGATCCCTGTTTACTATTTTGATATCATGAAGTGGAGGACTTGGGGATGGTTTGCTTTTTTCGGATTGCACAGCAGTCTGATGAGGTGGTTTAACTGTCATATGAGGTGTGGGAGATATATGTTGCTTGGAAGGTGCTGGAACTGAAGCTATAGTAGATGATCCTTGCTGAACACTAAGAGATACAGCCTGAAACAGGAAAAAATCCAGCATTAATCTGCATGACTACTCCCACCCTGAGATGCTCATGTTCTGTCTCAAAACCAAAACTATAAATAGAAATGTCTTGAAAGTTATGAGATTCAGCCATTTAACTGAAAATGACCCATTAATTGCTGGTTACAAGCATTAAAGTAATGCAGTACCATTGCAAAAGATCAAATTAAAATATAATGCAAAATCAGTACTACAAAGTCAATACTGCAAAATATGTAATTTGGGCACATGTTCCTATTATACTGTCTGCTTTTCTATATATTCCACGTGCTCGAGGCAACTGAGCCCCCAAGTATCCCATATAATTATCATATTTCTTCACTTCAAAGATGCTTTATTTTGGTATCATCAACTGTCAACATAACAAGACTTATAACTGCAAATACAAAACAATACAGCTTAACCACCATCTTCATATGGAGGCATCAAACCAACCTGACCTAATGAGGAAACTGACTTTATTTCCAACAGTCCAGGTTCTTTATTCTGTAAGAGTGAATACATTTGAAAAAGCTGGGCTTGCTGTGAGCTACCAGAAGAGGTGGAAGACGAGGATCACAGGCAGGCATCATTTTGAGGAGAAGTTAAAAAAACCTAGAACTTTTATTTTTTTTTACACCTCTATTTTGAGTGTAATTCTTAAGGTTTTTAGGTAACAAATAGCACTCAGGAACCCCAGCTGAAATGCACTGCTCTAGTCCTAAAACAGCCCCGCTTGCCTAACATGAGGAAAAAATAACGTATTGCAGTTATCAGTATAGCCAAGTACTGTTCAAAATAAAGCCAGACCCAACTACGGAAGTTTCATCAACTACTCTACTCACCAACTGTGCTTTAGTCTGTTCCAGCTCCAGCTCTAATTTCTTTTGCTGAAGTTCTAACAACTGCTTTTGCTTTGCAAGCAATTGCTGCCTTATCAGTTGCTCCTGTGTCAAATTCTTTTGTATTTCAGGAACAGCTGGAGGAGTAGAGGCACCAGAAGTGACAGCAGAGGTAGGTGCAGTAGATTCCTCTGTCTAAAAACAGAATAAAGTTACACTTAAAATTCTGATGGAATCAACTAACTCCATCTCCTTTGTTATCATGATCCAGTACCAGGACTTAGTTTGTATACCAGTTATAAATTGCATTTTTAATGCAAAATATAACTATTTAAAACTTTTGTCCCACTAGAATTTGCCTGCTGTGACAGTGTACATCATTTAATATAAAATTCATCAATGTTACAAAATCTAGAATGCAGTTTTGAAATATAAAAACCAAACCCGTCAAATATTCTGAATTCAGAAATTCCTCTTACCTGTCTACAAAGGTCACATACTTCATTTTTAATATACTAAATTGTCAAAAAGCAGCATATAAACAATGGAAAACTACACTTATTACCATCTGTTCATAGAGTAGGCATAAAAACTTACCGATTTATTTAAAAACTTAGGATTCACATGGATGCTAGAAGTATTCACATTTGGGGGTAGAGGTTTAATTGGCCAAGCAGGATCTAATGAGTTGACTCTGACATCAAGTGCATACAGTTTCTTCAAAGGAAAAATATCATCCCATGTGGAGCGTAACTTAAATAAACTTTTCCTAGTATTTTCATCCACCTAAAACAATAAAACAATTCTATGGCTTGGTTAAGTTAATATGAAACAATTTCTTAAACTATTCTGTAGAACTTAAGATATTTCCTATTTCTACCAACAGTCTGCCACTTTAACACATGGAACTTGCCATACAGCATTTATAAGCAGTGCAGATCATACACCTATACCAACGGAATCAGTAACGGAAGTTCACATGTGGAATTGTTGTTTCAAGGCCATTTGAAGGTTTTATTGTGTATCACCATTCTCTGAGAATTTTCTTTCAACTTTTCCATTACCAAAATTCTCATTTTACTTCCCCTTCCAATTTACTTCCCATTTCTGTGGAAAAAATACAGTAACAAAAATATTGAAAGGCAACAGCCTCGGAGACAACACGAGCCAAGTGTTTGTGCTGAATGGAGCATAACAATGACAAATCGGGAAACAACAAACTTTGTGAACAGAAAAGGTGTTTTGCTCAGCCATTTAGTCACTGAAGGATTGTTTTTTTTCCAACACATGTAACAAAAGGGGTATTAGCTAAAACAAAATCAACTATATTTGGGTTCAGCTGCAAAATTAGACCCATCTGTGAGCCACAGATCAAGAGTACTGGTAGGACCAGTGTCCATGTTATCCCCTTCACAAACAATTAGTTTGGATTATCTCATGACAGGTAAGTTAGACACAATAAATCAAAATTTAGGTAGTTCAATTAAACAATAAATGAAAAACATTTGATGATAAAATACACGCAGCTGTCCTGATGTCAATATCCCAATTCAATCATTAAGCACTCTAGACTCTTTTTGCTGCAGTTTTATTTTTAAGATGTTACAGCAAGACACAGAATAGCCTGGAAAGTTCAGAGGTTCTTTTGGGGAGAAGCAGCAACTTCAACAAAAATAATTCACACTTAGCTACTGGGGGGTGCCTCTATATACTTTTCAATGAGAGGGTATGAAGTTCACTGCAAAAGGTGCAGAAATGACTGAGCAAAAGTTTCTGACAAGTGTCTAAAGATACCTCAGTGACCATTTATTGAAAAAATAAAATTTGTAACAGTGTCAGTGATGGAATTCTACTTGCATCTTTTAACAACACCAATTAAGCTATTAGAAGTGACTGCCACTTTGTACATTCAATTAATACACATTAATTAAATAGTTCTAGTTAGCTTAGTAGACAGTTAACCTGTGAAACTCTGAAAATTAGTTATTATGCAGAGCTTCAGCTGCAACATTAAATGCAACTCAGTAAAAACATGACAATTTAATACTGAAAAAACAAGCAAGTGATTACCTATCTATCTACACACATGAGTTTTAAGTCTTTTATGGTCACTATCACAATCTATTCCTGCTTCATCGTGCATTTTACGTCTAAAAACCATATATAAAACATACTGTGATCTCAGATCCTCACTGACATGTAATGATAAATATGCAAAAGCTCCATTCATCTCATTGATATGAGATGACACTTGTTTTATAGCATACAGGAAACCACAGAACTTAACCCTTCATTTCTGATCCAACTTAAACTCATTCAAGTCCAGCCTTTCAAAAACTGGACTTCCATCTGCCTTTCTCATGGAGGAATATACACAATTACTTCACTGGCTTTAAAGATTAAGAGCAAAAATTAAAAGATATGGCAGCAGTGTTCAACGTTGAATGAAATTAAAACACGCAGCTGTAATGTAATATTGCAATATACTCTAAGACCCCCTCCCCCTCCCAGCATTTTCAAATCACAGACCACCAGGAGAGAACCAAATGTCAGTGCTACTCACTCTTCATAGTTTGAGCACTCATTTTGCACATCGTGAATTAAATAAATCAGACAAATTAACTAGAGGAGAGAGAAGCTCTGAGAAATCCACAAGAAACTGTCTATTCTTGACATTAAGACTATTTACTATCTCAAAAATAAACCCACAATTCATAATTAATTAGCCTATACATTACAAAAAATCCACCCAGGCAAGCAATCTGTAACCAAAATACTGTTAGTAAAAATCTTGCCTGGATAGCAAAATTACAGATGTTTATGAATGAAATTAAGTAAGACTTTGTATCTTTCAGCTAACATACAACTGACATGCTTGATAGTAGCACGAAAAATCTCTCACAGTATAGATACAGCACTGAGATTTATAAAAAACAATCAATTTGTATAGTTCACCACCCAAGAAAACCCAAAACTGAAAGCGTGTATTTATTTTACCAGGAACAAATTTTACTTAGAATACAGAACTTTTCTGAAAGTGTATATACCTTTTCAAATACACAAATAAATGTTGCAACTAGGTTTTTAGTAAATGCAGTAAGATACTCTCTTCCCACATTCTTGACAATGGAATCCATAAGGTACATAACTGGGAGCTTCTCTGATGCAGGAGCCTGGAGTAATAAGAAGAAACTGAGAAGTTTAGTACAAAAAAAACCATCTTTTAAGCTTTTTAAATAAAGGGATTACCAATCCCAGAAATACCGACCTCTCTTTTTGGTTGCCACTATAAACACCAAGGGATTTGGATTTGGCTTGGGATTGTTTGTTTATATAAAAACTTAATCTGAAAAATCGATACTCAGTTCAAAGTACAACGCAGTGGGTCTATCACACAAAAAAGGAACACCTTAGGTTATTTTGTTTGTGTATCAAAGCTTTGGGAAAAGGAAAAAGGTAAAAAAAAAGCCCACAAGACAGCATTGCCGCTAGTATTGAGTGTAACCTTTCAAAACCCACTTGAGAAAGTAACTGTTAAATTAGCAGGAAACCATTGTTAGCACTTCAGGGTGAACTTCTAAAAAAAAATAGTTTGTAATTCAAATCTCCTTAATGCTTGTTTTTCTGGATTTCACAGAACACAAAGCAGACTTCTGGCAAACAGCCCAAATTAATGAACTTCTGTAGCTGTAGATTACACGTCGAGTATCACAGTCTTTTCAGAAACTACAGGCAGAACAGGTTGCAACTATTGCATTGTATTCCAAACGGACGGAGCAAGGAGTCCCGTTCTCTCTCGGCACTTGCAGACAGTGACAGTTCAGATTTCCAGAGCGCAAGGAAAAATGCAGTCAGAACAAAGTTCAAAATCCAGACAAAACTCAATCATCTAAGTCCACTGGGTAAAGGCACAGACAACCTCAGGAACTGCAACCACGACTTTCGCAGAAGAGAGTCTTCAAATTCTGGACACATCTTTGCTACAAGAGGCAGCTGGGGTTGTGTTGCTCGGGTTTTGGTTTTGTTTTGGTGGGTTTTTTGTTCTTTTTTGTTTTTTTTTTTAAAATCCATTTTGAAAACTTGTAGCAAGTTTGTGTAATAGAAGCCTGATGACACTGAACCACTACAGTGACTTCCAAGGGACACAAAGCACGACTGGCCCAAATCAAGGTGATTTTAATGCCCACCACTGGCTTTCACAAAGCACAAGGCACAGCAAAGTTCCAGAAAACATCAGCAAGTACACAGACTTGTTGAAGAGGACAACACGAAAGACACCACCACAGGCCGTGTGTCGACCATGATCCCCTTAGAAGAGCATCCACTCGTAATAAGTCCCATTCACCATCCAGTAAACTCAAAATAAAACCAGAGTAACTTCGCTCACTGCTCATTTTAAATAGGATAGGCTACTAGGTTAATTAACGACACCTCACTTCGCAACCCCATCGTCCAGACAAGTGTGTGGAAGTGCTCTTGCTTTACAGTTTTAGATTTAATTCCTCCCCCTTTAAGGTGGTTCACAGAAGGGCACCGAGTCCACAATACTTTTATATGGGTGAATCACAATGTTTCCTCATCCTTAAATGTGTATTAATTTACCATGACCTGAAACTTAATATTGAAGAGGGCAGAATTTCTTGTTAGTTGGGGGGGGATGTCACTGCCTTTGAGCATATTCAAAAAAAGTAACAACAGGCAAGTGGTGTATTTTGTACATAAAAAGACAGAAAAATGCAGCTGAGTTAGCTAAAACTAACTGCAGCACATTAAAAACCTGTCTTACACTATGAGGTATTACTGAGCTGTAAACAAGTTAATATGCAGCAGTGTTAGAATAAAGCCATCTCTCGTCTCAGGAATCAAAGACTGGGGGTCTACAGCTACTTAATATTAAAGTGTCTGTGGAATACTTCTTTCTTCTTCACAGCAGTCTGCACAATGGCACATTAAAAAAAACTACTCCAAGCTCTGAATGCCTTTCTTTATAAAAAACAGATAGTGCACTGTTTCTGACTTCTAAAGTCAGCTGTTACAGAAAAAAAGAGCTGTCTCAGATGTACCTACGCCCAAGAGCTACTGATACAGTAGGTGATATTCTCCCGTTACCCCAATGCAGGGAAGTAGCTCACTATACTCGGCTAAACTTCAAGGCTGAGAGGCTGGGGAACCATTTAGTAGCAAAGGCACTGTAACAAGTTTAACTGTCACTTTCATTATGCATCAGACTGTTAAAAGTAATCACAAAGGGAAACACCCTTAATCTAGTAAGGAAGCCTACTTCAAACTATGGCACCGAATCAGCAGTTTAGCAGTATACCCTGCTTCAAAAATAAGCTACTCGGGTGTCACGTTTTAAGAACGTTTTAAAACTTAAATATGGTTGGATGATTTAGGTCTTCTCTCCTGGAAAAGTTTATTATGTCAAGGTATCTAGTGCACATTCCATTAAGCACAAAAGGGAACCCCAGGCCTGAATGTATTTTGTTTTCTGGTGGTCTATACAGGATCCCCTAACGAGAAAGATGCCCACAAGAGACTAAGCAAAGGGCAGGGAGGCGCCGCATCATCACCAGAACACAGAACATCACTAACTCTGAGCTCATCAGCGTAATGCTAAAGACTTCCCACTACACAATTCCCACTGTTCCTTCAAATAACATAGGAAAGCTATTGTTGGAAATGTGTGGCTCTTTTTTATTAGTTTCCTAGAAGATTTCAAGTTTAAAATCATATCTGGCAAGTGAACCCCAAGTCACAAACTTGTGCAAAAATCTGTTAAAAAAAAAATCACCTTGTTTACAAAACAGCAACAAATTCTGCACTATACAATGGTAAAGAAAAAGACAAATACATATTTCACAATTTTATTTACAAATATTATAATACCAGTCACACATTTCAGAACCATTTGTTAAATCATAAAGCAGACCACTCAGGTTTTACACTAAACAAACTGTCTCCAGGCAACACTTTTTAAAAGTGGCTTAGTAAAGGAGATCACTTTCCCAGAAACAACTAAAAACTTGCCTTGAATAAACCACAGTCACAAACAGTAACTAGGTAAAACTAACCATCGATACATTATTTAAGACATCTTAAAAAAAAAAATCATCACACTGCAGGGCAGGCTCTAAATCACCCAGAAATGGAAAAAAAAAAAGAAAGACAGTATTGATATTTATCACAAATAATTTTATACACATCCACTGCCCTTTAGGAAATATAATGGTGAGATCTACTGGATTATGAGGTTGCCTCCCCAAGGAATGGCAAAAGTCAGCCACTGGCAACATTTAAAACTAGCCTGGAAGAGGTCTGTGGAACACTAAAAAGCCATCCTGCATTGACAGAAAGATAGATTAAAGAGATCCTTCCCTCCCCATCATTAAATAGTACAATTCTCACCATTATAAACCATGATATAAGCCAAAGGAAAAAAGCCTTTGAACACCTGAATTCAGAGGGAGCAAGGGAAACAACGGGGGAGGGGTGACTGGTGCGAACGGGAGAGGGGGAGTTGAAAGAAGAACCCTTTTCTTACAAAATGCTCTTGTTAAAAAAGTGCTGTAACCCCCCATCCATGTGCTGTGGCTGACTGA